TATATAAATATATATGTATATATGTATACTATATATATATTATATATATATATATATATATATATATTATATTATATTATTATATATGATATATTATATTTGTGTGTGTGTGTGGTGTGTGTGTGTGTGTGTGTGTGGTGTGTGTTGTGTGTGTGTGTGTGTGTTTACGATATGTATTGTATTGTATTATAACAATTCATGTGGAGTCCGGTATTGATTCGACGTTTAAAGATTGAATTGGCTTGTAATGTAGAGATGTTTGGCACAACAATAAAGAATTTATTTACGTGATTCTCTATTCTAAAAAGTATGATATTGTAGAAAAAATCTATTGATAATTTTTGAGAAAAAATAGATATAAGATATATAGATATTAGATGTCAAATATTTGATGGAGGAAAGTTGTAAACAGTTTTATTGTCATTTTCCTTTGCAGGGGAATCATGCTTCGCTCGCAACACATGGATATGTTTAGGTGTAATTATCAGTAGAACCGGACGGCATTAAAAACTTATGCGTGATAACGTGAATTCATATCTTTTAAACTGTTGGACAACTAGATAGAATTGTGGTTTCGCCCTGCACGCACACAGACAGAGAAAGGTCGTCGAAACTCCAGCCAAACACCACATGGCAGGCGTGAGCTACTGTATGCGTGGTGGTGGTGGGCGGGCCTCTCCGGCTGATGATGGCTGGTGATGCGCTGCTGGCTTGCGTGATGATCGCTGCAGTTGGGGGTGATCATGAATCGGTGGTGGTGGCTCGAGTCAGTGTCTGTCCTGTTTAGCGCGAGTTAATATTTATAATTTGGGAGAGGCCCGCGTGGTATGCAGCAATGGAATATCTACCGCTACAGGAGACGAGTGCTCCGATCTGGGCAAGATGAACTGCAAAAGGAAAGCGAAACAAAACATAAACGTTCATACAGGAAGGAAAAAAGAAAATACGTAAGGACAAATTATTTTTTCAACATCAGTAACGGGAAACTATTGGGGAAATTAATATTTTTTTTTTTCTTACTGCCATGTAAAGATTTTAGATTCCAATTAGTAGGCTAAAAGGGAGTGAATATAGAGTCTAACCCTGAGATTTACATCTGTCACTTGTATTCATCATTGTTTATTAGAATAAACATTATGTTCCGTAGAAATGTTTCCATTGACCATTGTAGC